CTCTCTCTCTCTCTCTCTCTCTCTCTCTCTCTCTCTCTCTCTCTCTCTCTCTCTCTCTCTCTCTCTCTCTCTCTCCGACCTTGGCGGCTCTGGCCTCCGTCCGTTATAGTGGACTCTCTCTCTCTCTCTCTCTCTCTCTCTCTCTCTCTCTCTCTCTCTCTCTCACACACACACACACACACACACACCTTTGCGGCTCTGGCCGGCGGCCGCCGTCCGCTATGGCGGCCTAAATGGCAATAGTCTGTCGGCAAACACTCAGCAAGTGGCAGTCAAAACTCTACTCAGCGGTATGTTAGCCTTGCCAATAGTCCCTTTAAAACGTTGGTCAAGAGGGAAGGTCCCCGCATAGTAAACCAACAGGTTCGGGTCTCGTTCGTTCAGCAGGCTTTACCTGACAAACCAACCCACCAACCATGAATGGTAATCGAAATCACGTGTTCGTCAGCCGTTAGCAGCAACCTGTTCGCCAGAAAGAGAATATAGTCGTGCATAGTGACACTCAGATCACTTCCTACGATCTGCGACTGATGGACAACTTGCTTAGTCGGTAAGCTTGTTTTTCTTCCTACCTATCTTCCCCTCTCCCTCACGTCTCTCCCTCTCTCTCTCTCTCTCTCTCTCTCTCTCTCTCTCTCTCTCTCTCTCTCTCTCTCTGCCTAACTACCTTCCTAATTGCGAGTGCGCCTGACCACCATCCAGTTCCCACAGTATGCTTAAAGGAGGCTCCGGATTGATTGGAAACTAGACTTTAAGCCACCACGATCCCGAAGTCGGTCAGGACAACGTACATGATGGTGGGGCGACCCTGCTCCAGTATTCGTTCGTACAAAAAAGGAGGATGAGTACACACTAGAAATGAACCTTGCTCGAAAACACGGAAAAATACATTAGTACTTCGAAAATCTCTTTTCCCCGGACGCAACTTCGTTTCTTTACAACATTTAATTTACTCTTTCAGAGTCAAATCCTTCATCGCCAATCAAACTGTGACATCAATAAAAACCTCGAACTAGGATCCCTTATATGTTTATGTTCACAATCAGCTTCGGTCTACACTTTCCTTCTTGTCTCCTCCATATCCCACTGCACTGATTTGTTTATCTAACTCGAATTCTAATCGGCTAATCCCAAAATTAACTACACCATCGGAATCGCCTTATCAAAGGACCCCGGAATCAAGTCTTTCCTCGTCCAAAACCGGCCAGAAACGAGGGAGATAAGCGTTTTCTTACTCTCCCCCCTTCTCACTCCCGCCATCTCTCACGCAATCTACTTCTCTTCTACCACCATATCTACTAACTTAAGTTGTATTCTAACTACAGGTTCGGGTTCGCCGGCCCTCAACCCCCCCAGATTTACCTTCTGCCTTCTTAAAATTGTGAGGTATCGCATGATCTACCTTTTCCGCACTGCGCCCAAGCTCTTCACTCCACCATCTTCATTCTTCCTTTCTCGTATGTACCCGTCGCAATTTTGCGCCCGGATCCATTCATCCTACTCCTTATTCTCGTCGTTGTGTCCTCCTCTTCGCCTGTTGCCTTTCGTTCCCAGTCGCATTTAGCACAGACGGGCGTCCAAACCCGTTCTCCCTTCCCATTTCCGTGCCTTGCCTCTCTTCGTCATGTCGGTCCGACAACATCCGACGCATTGCTTTCTTCGTGGGATGGTCCTCATTGGCCCGTATCTTCTTAGAATTGAGATTTTTGCGAAGTGGGAAACGTTGGTGTTTAACAGAGACTTTAGACGAGCAAGTAGGACCGCCTGTCAAATCTGTGTAGAGAGCGGCCTTTTCCTCTTCCGTTTTTTTGAAGGAAGTGTCAGCCAGATCTCTATTTTCCTGAGAGGAATCCACTTCCGCAACACTATAATTTTGTGACCCTGTGAAGGGGTTACCTACAGGTTTATCTGATTCAGAAAAGCTTCCCCACTCCTCGGGAACTTCCAAGATAGCCCTGTTCTCTATTAGTATTTCGTCAGTAAGGGGGGAAACTCCTTTCTTCCACAGCTCGATCCCTTCAAGGATGGACCTGCACATCGCCCCTCGACTATCCTTATCCCGCCTTTTCTCCTGGTTCCCATTCCCCTCCTTCGCTCCCTCCTGATTCTCATTCCCTTCCTTCACTCCCTCCATCCCTCCCTGCTGGACTTCACCACTTTCCTCACTTCGGTATTCTTTCAACTCCCTGTCGAGAACCTTCTTTTTCTCTTTCCCTTCATCCTCCACACTTTTGCTTTCCTCACTGACGCTTTGACGGTTGTCTGTTTCTTTGTTGTTTCCTCCCTTGGAGTCGCTTGCTTCCCATTGCATTTCAGCCCCCGACTGTTGGGAAGTTTCTTTCGTTAAATTTTCCTCCTCGAGTTCCTTTTCGGCATTAGGTTCCTTTAATCCTGGGTCTACTCCCGGAATAGGTACAGCTGCCAGGGCAGGTGGATCATCACCCACCATCTTTTCCCCTTCCTCCATCCGCCGCTCCTCCTCGACCTCTTTCCCTCCCCCTTGTTTTTTAACCTCCTTCCCACTTTCCTTTCCTGTTCCGCCTAGTCCGAATTTTAGAGCTCACTTTTTCCTTGTCAGACCTGCCGGTTTTCTGTGCTTACTTTTACTTTTGCCTTTTCCCTTTGGGGTTTTCTCGTTCCCTTCTTTCAGGGGTCTCTTCTCCCTTTCCTTGGTCTGAGGCTCCTCTTCCCTCTCCTCCCTTCCTTTGCCCTTAGCAGTCCGATCGATTTTGTCGTTTGACCCGTTCTCAGATTCTTCTCTTTGCTTCCCCTTATCTTTTGGTTCTGATTTTTCGTCTGAGCTGGGGGTCGGGACAGTAGCATTTGGTTGGACCTTAGCCTTAGGCTTCAAGGGGCAGGAGTCGTCAGATGACCAATGATAGAAACGCCGACAGTTTTCACACCACGGCGTTTCTGCACAAATGACCTCGACTTCAACCAATCCGTCTTCCTCCAAATCGATAATCAACACTTCCTGAAAACGCATTTTGGCTGATGGAGTTAGATCAAACCTGATGTCCTGAAGTTCAGGGTATCCCCTCACTTTGAAGGGGGGATGGGAATGCATGATTTCTCCGAACGCATCAACAATTACTCCTTCCAGTAAAGCCATAACTGTCACTGGAACTTGCAAACATCTGACCCAAAAATAGGGTAATCTCATCGCATCTCTCCAGTCTATGAGTTCCTTTTCCATCATCCAAGGGCCAAACCTAAGCGTGTATCTCTTCTTATCCAATTCCACATTCCATTGTGCTTTAGTTTTCATCCATGTAGCAATTTCTGGTCGCCGCATGTCACCAGATTTTTTGCTTCATTATGAAACAATCCCCTTATTGGTGGAGCATCCATGGATTTTGCAGCAGCCCATCCGTCTTCGTATATATGAACAAGCTTTCGTTTGACTCCAACCGTGAGAGATGTAGAATCGTCTCCAAAAAACACTGAAACAGCATGGTCCTTCAGCCATTGGACTTGGATTCTGTAGAGTTCGCTATTGACTTTGAGTAGTAGTTCCTAATAGTCGAGCTGGGCTCGTAAGAGAAACTGGCTGAGGCTGCCAGGATAACCCCGGGTTGAATTGTGAGGTCCCCGGCCTCTTTCTWTTTTTTTCTTTGGGTCCGGCCTCTTTCTATTGTCATTTGGAATATAAGGCTTTCCAAAAAAAAAAAAAAAAAAAAAAAAMRCCCSCCCYCYSCAACASCCRAMAAARAACCGCCGCGGGTCCACGAAAAGCACCGAAGAAGTCGCCCTGGTGGGATCCAATTTTTCTTTTTCGTCCCGCCACGGCCGCTGACATCTTTGTAGTGCTTTTTCGCGACTACAGTCGTAGTGTAGTGGTGGGATCAGACCCTTAGGGCCTCGCCACAACAGTCTCGAAATGTGAGAAAGACAAAAATGTGGCGGGGTGCATCTGGCCATGTTCTAGGGGTAAGTTCGTTCTCATTTTGCACATTTGGAGAGTGGTGTGGCGATGCCCTTACGCTTCCCTTTCCGCAGCGTTGCCTTGGCTCTCAGTGGCATGTGCGCGACAAGCGCCTGGAAGTCTCCGCTCGCCTCCGCGGACGACAATCCCCTCGGGATTGCCGGCATTTACCCCATGTGAACACCAACCTCCTTGCCTGTCTCCCAGTTGTCGCGCCCTTGTGATCGCGATCGTCTCTCCTTTATTCCACGTCTCCTCCCCCCCCCCTCCCCTCCCCCCCCCCTCCCCTCCACTCGGGCCCTCCTCTCCTGCGCGCTGTCTGTCCGCCTTTCTCGATCGTATCGTATTTTGGCTACTTCGTTTTCGTTTGGAAACCTGTGTCGTGTCGTTTGAACACGGCGGGGTCACGGATGTCGGGCTCTACCCAGGCGACCTAATGAGTCCATTGACCTGTGCGCGCTGCGCGCGGACGAGCGCTTCAGAGCGGAAGGCGGGCGGACAAGTGAGCGCATGTGCACACATGACACGGAGCCTTTCTCGAATGATTGGTTGGGCATAATGGCGTCCACGTGCATCCAGGAGTAGCCATATTTAAGGTCAGATACCTTGAGAGGAAAGTCCGAGTGGCCGCGCGTATTCTGTGAGTATAATCGGTTGGTTGGGAGTAGCGGGGGAGAGGGGAGGACGACGAGGAGGAGGAAGGGGGGGAGACGACGAGAGGGACGAACGAGCTTTCATCGACGGCGGTGCCAGAAAGGACGAGCTTTATCTGGTGGCTGCTCTCCCTCTCGCCGGTGCTATGTTCTTACTGTACTTAGCCGCAAGTCATTATCGTGCTAATTAGTGGTGATTGATAATTGGGTTAACAGCACTGGCGGCGCGCAGCTTCGTACCTATGGTGATTGCTCTAGACGGGGTCGCTTCTCGTTCTCGTTTCTTGCTGGGATTGCGAGGAAACACGTGGCGCTTAGGAGAAGGAGGGGGAGGAGGAGGAGGACGAGGAGGACGAGGAGGAGGGGGAACAGGAGGAATTGGAGGAGAGAGAGAGAGAGTAGGGCTTTGCTAACCTCGCTAGGGGAGAGAGGTAGGACAGGGGAGACTCGTCTCTCGTAAGGGCGAACACGTGTTTGAATACGGAAGTAAGGAGACGGGCAAGATGAGCGGCAACGATAAATCGTCCGTAACGAAGGAACAGAATGAGAGGCACAAGAAGGTGTGCACTCCATCACCATCTCCTTTTCACCTCTCTCCTTTTTTCTCTTACTCTCTTGCCTTCATCTATTATTCTCTTTTTCCTTTTTTTTTTGGTTCCCTTTACTATGTTTGACCCCTAGGTAGTCCTCTCGCCAGTGAATTGTAAGGTTGGAGCAATTACGGAGGACAAGAACGCTGTCTAGCCCCTTCTGCTTATGATGATGTTATCGTCTTCGTGGCATTCCTCTCCTCTGTTTGTCTCTATCCCCGTTCTTTTTCCTTCTCCTTGTCTCTTGTCTCGTCTCCTTGACTTCTACCTTCTCCTCGTCTCTCCTCTCCCTAGCCCTTCTCTCTTTTCTTCTCTCGTTACTCTTCTCCTCCTCTCTCCTCTCTCCTCCTCTCCTCCCGGCTGTCCTCGTCCTCTCTTCTTCTCCTCTTCTCCTGTCTTCTCGTCTCTTCTCTTCTCTTTTTCTTTCTTGTCTCGTTTGTTCTCTCCTTGTGCTTGCTCCCTTCTCCTGGTCCCTCCTTGCTTCTCTTTTTGTTCTCTTCACTTCTCCTTTCGCTCTTGCTCTCCTATTGTCCATCTTCTGCTCATCTATTCTCTCTTGCATCTCTCTTCTGCTCGTCTCTTCGGTCTTCTCGTTTATTATCACTTCCCAAACCATCTGTCATCTCTTTTGTCCTTCGTCTTTTCTCTCGTTTTTCTGTTCTCATCTCCTGCCTCTCCTCTCTGCGAGTGCCGTCGTCCTTCGGCACTCGTCGTGTTCCTCTTCTTGGTTTATACCCTGTTTTCTCGTCTTGGGGCGTATCTCCTGCCTCTCCTCTCTGCGAGTGCCGTCGTCCTGAATAGAACGTACGGCCATTATGCCTGTATTTGGGGCAACTTCCAGTTTAAATACAGCGATAATGACCGTACGTTTTACTGGGGGGAAGACGGGTATAGCCTGTCTGCATCTTGCTACGGAGCCCCCGAGTTGGTGAGCAGTTTCTGCTACTCCTCTCGGCGGGGGAGGGGAGAGCGATAAGGCAGGAAGTGAATTTCCGGAGAGGATAGAGAAGAGAGGAAAGAGGAGCATAGAGAGGAGAAGAGATGAGAGGAGAGAGAAGAGAGGAAAAAGGAAAGGGAAAGAAGAGGAGAGATGAGGAATCTAAGAGGAGATAATAGGCGAGAGAGAAGAGAAGAGAGAGGAGAGATGAGGAATGTAAGAGGAGCAGAGAACAAAAGAGAGAGGAGATATGAGGAATGTGATTTCTCCCAGTCTTTTTGTCGTTGCGGATTGTCGGGCATTTGCTTCCTTCTTGCCTTATTGATTTTCCCCCCTCGTCTGTCCATTTATCCACCATCTCCGTCGCGCATGCTGTCCTTTCTCTCTTGTCTGCTTTTCTCTATCACATAGAGAACGGCTTCCTCGCTACCCTCGTCTATCCATTTATCCACCATCTCCGTCGCGCATGCTGTCCTTTCTCTTCTGTTTGCCTTTCTCTATCACATAGATAACGGCCTCCTCGCTATTTTTTCAACTTTCTATGACCAATTGCATGGCTCTCTCGTCGAGCTCTACGGTTTTGCGTGGTTTTCTCTCTTCTGCACCTCCACGCTTTTGCGCCGGAACTGCTTGGCTCTCTCCTGCTCGCTCCACACTTTCGCGCGGGAACTGCTTGGGTCTCTCCTGCTCGCTCCACGCTTTTGCGCGGGAAGAACATCATTCCATTGTCTTGTGCTTGTCACTCGCTGTTTTCGCGCTTCTACGTTCAGAACACTGCCGCGATGACAAAATCGCACACTACGTCACGCCATCGTCACACATCAAATCAGTCTGCCAGGTCGCGCAGTGTCGCGATAAGCCCACAAGCGATGTCACGTAGCGGTACGCAACGTCACAATATGTGTCGCACGCTTCGCACCGTGCCGGACGCTCCGCACCGTGCCGCACGCTCCGCACCGTGTCGCACGTTCCGCACACTTGTCGCACGCTAGGCTCCTTGTTGCATGCCCTGCCGTTGTGTGTGGCGTTGCGCGCCATGTCTTATTGTGATGTGGCAACTTTAGCCATACTGTACGACACAGCGTGGCTCAAGTGGACACCTACTCGCCTTCGCCTTGTCGCACGCCATTCCGTGTGACGATATCATCACGCTTCGGGAGACGGCGACGCAGCGTGGCACGCTGCTCTGTGTGGCGGTGCGCGACATCCCGTAGTCTTATTTTTGCGTGACACTCTGCGACACAGCGTGGCTCAAATTGACAAGTCCTCACCTTCGCCTTGTTTGGGCGAAATTGGGACGCTGTCTGGCACTCTGCGACATAGCGTGGCTCGCCTTGTGGCGCTGCGCGGCATACCGTATTGTGATGTTGCGTGACACTGTGCGACACAGCGCGGCTCGACGAGACAAGTCCTCACCTTCGCCTTGTCGCACACTCCTGTGTGACGTTGCGCGACATATTGTGAAACTGCGTGCGCGACACAGCGTGGCTCAAGGTGACAGCATCGTGTCGCACCCGATGTCAGAGGACACCACACCACGTAGCTTGATGCCGGCATCTGGCCAGATCATGCCGCAGCACAGGTCAGCAGCGCCCATCACGGACTCGAAGAAGGGAGCTGGAAGTAGGAGAGAGATGCATCTTCATCGCACTCAACTGTAATTAGGGTGAGGTAGGGTGTACTCTCCATTTGCTATGGAAGGAGTCCTGTTTCGTTATTTCGTAGAGACTACAGTAATATCATACAATAAATAGCAAATAGCAAATAGCAAATAGCACAATGATCGTCTGTTGAGAAAGCAGAGTAGGTAGTACGTAGGGTGTGCGATCCCGTGACCTTCGGTCTCAAGCACTCTTCACTCTCGTCAGCTCTTCCCCTTTCTCTGCGCTTGGCGGCGCTTTCTCTCTCGTTTCCCCTGAAAAAAATATTGTCCACTGTATTGATTACCTCTCAAAGCCCTCCTGCAGATGGTCACCGCAGTAGGTTGATGGTATCCCAGCCGATACGATAGCCAGGGTGCGTTCACATGATGGTATCCCGGCCGATACGATAGCCAGGGTGCGTTCACATGACGGTATCCCGGCCGATACGATAGCCGGGGTGCGTTCACATGACGGTATCCCGGCCGATACGATAGCCAGGGTGCGTTCACATGACGGTATCCCGGCGGATACGATAGCCAGGGTGCGTTCACATGACGGTATCCTGGCCCATACGACCGCGCAATTTTGCAGTGCGCGACAGAAGTGGCCTCGCATCGCGCGACTCCTCGCCAGTGCGACACCTGGGGAAAAGGATTTTGAATGCATTAATCCGGCTGTCCCTCGCTTTCTGTTACCTCTATTCTTCATCCGCTGCCATTTCCCCCCTCCCTTGTCATGGTGTTAGCCTGTCCATCTCTCCTCTCTCCCCTGCGCGTCGTGTTTTTCTGCACTTGTGCTTGCCTCAATCCAGTTATCCCACGCTCTGTTGCCTCTATTCTTCACCCGCCGGCTTTCTGCCCCCTCCTTGTCATGGTGTTAGCCTCTCTCTATCTCTCTTCTCTCTCCCCTGCGCGTCGTGTTTTTCTGCACTTGTGCTTGCCTCAATCCAGATATCCCACGCTCTTTTGCCTCTATTCTTCACCCGCCAGCTTTCTGCCCTCTCCTTGTCATGGTGGTAGCCTGTCCATCTCTCCTCTATCCCTGTCTCTTATACACATCTAGATGTGTATAAGAGACAGCCCCCCGCCGCCGCTCCCTTAGTCTGCACACCGCTTCCCCGCATGCCCCCCTTTCCCGGGTTTTTCTGCCCGTGTTTTCTTTCTCTGCCCCTCTCTGCCCCTGGCCCCCCTCTCCCCCTCAGGACCATCTCCCCTTGCTCAGATCTTGTCTCTCCTGACGTCTTCATCTTGCCCTCTGCCTTTCCTCAGCTGCGCTCCCTCTGTTATGTCCCTGTCTCTTATACACATCTAGATGTGTATAATCTGTTGCCTCTATTCTTCACCCGCCGGCTTTCTGCCCCCTCCTTGTCATGGTGTTAGCCTCTCTCTATCTCTCTTCTCTCTCCCCTGCGCGTCGTGTTTTTCTGCACTTGTGCTTGCCTCAATCCAGTTATCCCACGCTCTTTTGCCTCTATTCTTCACCCGCCAGCTTTCTGCCCTCTCCTTGTCATGGTGGTAGCCTGTCCATCTCTCCTCTCTCCCCTGCGCGTCGTGTTTTTCTGCACTTGTGCTTGCCTCAATCCAGTTATCCCACGCTCTGTTGCCTCTATGCTTCACCCCCGCCGGCTTTCTGCCCCCTCCTTGTCATGGAGTTAGCCTCTCTCTCTCTCTCTCTCTCTCTCTCTCGCTTGTGCGTCGTATGTCTCTGCACTTGTGCTTGCGTCAATCCGGTTGTCCCGCGCTTTATGTTACCTCTATTTTTCACCCGTCGTCATTCTTCCTCCTCCTCCTCCTCCTCGTGATAGGCTCTCGTGCCTCTCTCCTTTCCTGCGTGTTGCACATGCTCGTGTCAAGCCGGTCGCCTCGGGCTTCCTGGTCCTTACTTCGCCCCTCCTGCCTTCTTGCTTCTCCTCTCTCTCGTGCAAAATTTGCAGTTTTTTTGGGTACTTTTTCTTAGTTTTTTAATCTCAGAAAATTTGGACCATTTCTCGATTTATGCGTGTCATTCTTGCGCAGGGGCCATGCTAATCTTCTCTGTATTATTCCATTCCTCCCCCTCCCCC